ATTTTGCAAATAAGATAAGAAACTTAAATAGTAAAACATTCTATCTATCACGCTACGTTACACTATTATCAATAGTGTTGATTTCTGTAAATTATACCAGCTAGTCAAGTGTCGCTTTAAGTCGTAAATTTCATAGGTATAGTTAATATAAACTATTACGAGTAATTATTTCAATCTATTTGTAACATCGCACCACCACGTAGGTATTTAAATTCAAAAGCATAAGCAAAACAGTAGCGTGTTACAATTTATCAGCGTATTTGATTAAATGGCGTATATATTGGTTGAAGGTCGGTTATGGCTAACCTATAAGGAAAAACATTTTAATTGTCACGCTGTTAAAATTTCATAGTTTACAATAAACAATATGCCGCAAAATTAACGGAAATTTTTTTTTAAATTAAAAAAAAAAAAAAACAAAAACAATTAGTTATTTAGTTAAGAGCAATACTTTTTATTTAAAACACACACCTTTTTAGGAAAGGAAAAAAACAAACAAACCACAACAACAACAACACTAAAAGAATTGAGGAAAACAAAAAACAAATTTGTTTATTTTCAAGTATATTCGATGTTATTAACTTTTAAATAGCCTGTGCTGCTAGTGCTCAACGTCTTCTTTTTTTTTTTAGTCTAAGAATTTATTTCGTTAGTCTAAAATTGTAATAATAATAATAATAATAACTTCTAAATATAACATCATTCGAACTGACACCGCGACTGCTCCGAGCTGCTTCGAGCACTTCCAGTAAATCTGCTCTAGTTGGACCAATAACGTGAATACGTGAATAATTCGTTAAATTCACGACTTTAAGGAGTAATTCAATGCTGTTCAATTACACCTTCTCATGAGCCATTTGGTAATATTACACCAGACACCCTGATAAACGTGATAAACAAATTGTTGAACATGTTGAGTTGCACCTAGTCCCGCCTCCTTACAACCAGATGTTAGATTTAGATCATAAAAAAATTCTTTAACATCAATCTCTGGGGCTCTCCATTCACGCTAGCGGGATGACCCACTCTCATTCCGAAAAAGATAAGAGCCAATGATGGCACGATTTCAAAAAGCTCGCGAAAATATCGCTTACACGAAACATAAAATTTTCTCATGAATAATTTGGGATGAAAATGAACTTCCCCTAAGAACGTGAGCTACCTAAGAAACTGCCGGAAAACTTAAAAAACGACAACAATTATTTTCTAAAAAAATTTGAATAATTTTCCAACGCTTTTAAAGCGTACACCTTTTCACGATAAAATTGCAAACTTTACTGAAACACAGCTAACGAGAGAAAAATGAATTTTATATACAAGATATGCCCGCAATGTCAAAAGACTTAAAACATGTCAGCTGAAAAACCCTATACATATTTTGTGAAGCTGCATGCGGCAGGCTGCATTCAATCAATGCTGCTATAAATTTTGTTATATCATCTTTGGAAATCGCCTCAGTAGAGCTCTTCAGGAAGCGTTCTCATCAGAAACTCCTTTTACAGCAAGTTCGAGGCATGCAGACAAGAAACACTAATGCGGAGATAAATCAAATGAATACGGAGGACATTGAAGCGCCCAATTTGACATTTGCAGCCTTAGGAGGTTCATTACGAATAAATTGTTGGTCGGTAGGTCGATATCAGTTTGTTTCAATACTTTGGCCATGTTTAATACCGTCGCTATCTAGCTGGCATCGTATAAGCAATCGTTTCCAAAAATCATTTTGGGTCGTTTGGCGTTTATTATTTTTTGGTCCGCTTTCTACAAAAGAATTCTTTTGGTGACTGCAATAACAGTTTGGAAAATTAAAACACAAATTAAGCAATTTTGATATTAAAACAAGTAAAACGACTATAGCAGGCCGCAGCCCAACTTTAGATTTCGTACCACACTCTACCGTTACTCATGTGACGACTTTTCAAAGTAAGGCGTTGTATCCGATCCGAACTATTTTCTTTAGACCAAAACTCATTTCATCAAAACACATCGAAAATTGCGGTTTGTGGGTTGAAGAAAACAAACCGGACAGACGGACGGACATGCTGAAACCAACTCAGAAAGTGCTTCTGACTCGATCGATATAATAACAATGGTATGCCTATCTCAAACGTTCTCGATATTGCATACATCCGAACAAACCTAATATACCACATTTAATGTAGTGTATAAAAGAAATTAAGTTTACACTCAACTTATACGTTGACCGTTAGCTCCTTGCAAGTGATCAATAATTCAACCTTTCGATATAAACATATTTTCATGCTTTATTAATACGTAATCGAATTTCTTATATAAGAAAAAGCGCTAAATTGAAAAAAAATAAAAGAAAAAATTTTTTTAATTAAACCTTTTAAACACATATATAAAAAGAGAAAAAAAACGTAAAAAACATTTAAAATAAATATTTACACAAATTCATGATGAGGCGCTATTAAGAATGTAATAAAAAGCGCCATAAACTTTAAGTATATGTACTATAACGTACTATAAAACTACTACGAAATAAAAGTATTCGTATTGCAAAGCAATTAACGGGAGAGACAAGGATAGCTTATAAAAATTCTAATCAATAACAATAAAAGCAAAGCTACGCTTAAGACAATTAACGGACAGAAGATGAAAAACAGGTTTTTCGGTTAAAAAAGATTTCCTCTTCCTCTTCTAGCTATAAACAAAAAAAAAAAAACAATTACAAAATTCAAGAAAATTGAGAATATTGCATGAGATAAAAAAAGCAGGCAAACTGAAACAGAGAGAGAGAGTGAGAGAAAAATGCAATTAGTTGTTGAGATATTAAGCTATTGGATAACAAGTAGCAACAAGATCAGTAGAAAATTACTTGCGACCTCTTCACTAAAATGCAATCAAAAGTTATCAGTTTTCGATAAAAAATCTTTCCGAAAAACTGTAAGCCAAGATACGATAATATTTGTTTTCATTATCATTGCATTGATTGAAGGTTATGAAGTGTGTTGAACAATTTTACAATAATATGTAACGCATTTACTGATAGAACGTTCGTAAGACGTCTGTCATATAGTTGTCGAGAAGGTTCTCATGAACTTTGTTACATATATTGAAGTTTTTTTTTTTTTAATTTTTATAAACATTGATAGTCCTTTGGAGAGATGTTAGGATACTGGACTTATTCCTTCGTTTGTAAGCGTTACGAGTCCACATTTGTAAAATTTTTAGTAGACTTGACTATGATCCATGTGTTCGTCCCCCTGTTTAACTGCTCGCATTATTGAAATTCCAATGTCAAGATGACAAGTTAAAATTTATCATTTTTACACCTATTAAATGGCCACAGGTGGACATAAAAGAGTCAGTGTTATTCGTTCGCAATTTCGCTCATAAAAAAATATGAAGTAAAATTTTTAGGAAAAATTAGTCATATCGGCCAGGTAAAAATTTAAATAGAAGAATATGAATCGTTCTCCTACAAATAGATCCACAGAGAGAGTAAAGTTATCAAGCTGGACATTTATATCCTAAGTCCTGCTAATAGGCCGGCTAGAAATACTCCCCATCGATCTGAATAGCATGGCCACATTTAAAAACCATTTCTTTCTTGTATGGCAATGCATTGGTCTTTTCTAATCTAATAAAAGAATTTTTCTGAAAGCTATGCGTTCCTTTGTTGTAAACTTTTAATCAATTTATAACCTCCGTTTAAAGTAATTTTACATACAACATAATAGGATACTGAAAACTACTCGTAAGCCCTGTCCATACAGAAAAAAAGAAAGGAAGATGCCGAAAGTGTCTCTAGGGGGGCTATTAAATATTCATCATCCTGCTGAGGACAGATTATGTTAATTTTATGTACCATTTTCCAGATTTTATTTCAACTCCTTAGCTGGCTTTATGGCTGCATTGAAGGATGGACATACATTATTTTATTCGAAACACCAGGAATACGAATCAAGAATCCTCTACTGACCTTTTGAATCGATTCTGTTATGCTCATCTGTCGACGAGCGTCTCCACTCTCTTCTATTAACCAAAAAAATTTTCTTCATTAACAAAAACTCTATTCTATGCCTATACAAATGAGAGAATATTCGAACTTTCAGTTTGCAAAAGATATTAACTTATAATGCATTATGTACTTTCTCCTAAGACATTGGAAAATATCAATTTAGAAATAAATGTACCTGATCGAATAAGTGCTACGACTAAGATTAACGAAACATACTTCGAAGTTTACACATTGGCTTAAAGGGATTGGCAACGAGACTATTCAAAAAGTCCTGGTCATTTATAGAAAATAGATAAGCGACTGCACGGAACGACTATCTCATCTAATTTCCAAGACCCAGCAATCTGCAAAATTTCATAGATCCGTGGGCGACGACCTCCATCACTTTAGTTGATGATATTTTAATAAATCGGTGACTATCGTTTACAGTAGACATCTAGATTTAAAAACTTTTAGATATAAAGTTACGTTTCTTTTTGATATTTAAAATTAACGATTTTATTTTTAAATATTTAAAATTTGTTTTTTTGTTTTTTTTTGTAAAAAGCTGTGGAAACCCTATCCACTTATTAATACTTGATTAATGAAGAGCTTACAAAAACTTGATTAATAAAAAGCATGAAACAAAAAAAAAAGATAGCGAGAGAGAGAGAGAGAGAGAGAGAGAAAGAAGGAGAGAGTATCTTGGGAGAAATGACGATCGTTACTTATTGTTATTTTCTTGGGATTTTTTAAAGCTCAACCGTTGCAGTAAAACAGGCTCAGTTTTTAATTGCTAATCATCTAAAGCACATGTCACTCGGTAGTGAAATTTTTTAAATGAAAAAAAAGCGCTTCATTTTTCTATACTTTTTATATTAAATGACAAAAAAAAGCAAAAAAAAAAACAAAAAAAGGAAACAAAATAAATTAAACGTATTCACAAGTACTCAAAAGGCTGGTTCAATAACAGTGAAAAAAAAAGAAGAAAAAAATTACTTTTTATTTATTTATATACTTATATTGATCACAATAACAATAACTACAAACAATCGGGGAGACAATCATTTTAAAAAGTGAGTATTTTTATTTTAAAAAAGGCAAACAGCCAATAGTAAAAATAAAAAATAAAAAAATTCATGCAAACACATCATGGAAGGGGCGATCGATCATGAATGAAGAAAGTTTGTTAAACAAAAATTATGTTGGAAAAAAAAAAAGACAAAAAAGTCAATAAACAAATATAATAAAAAATTAAAATATTTAGAGAAACCGTGATTATTTAGCAAATACGCGTATAAATTGCATGTACGTACATGCATGTGTATAGCATTTTTTCACTTTTTGTGCATATTTGCATTTATAAATATATATATATATATATATAAAGCTTTTTGCATTTAAATTTTTATTTTTTTTTTTTTTTTTTTGTTTGTTTCTTTTTTTTCCTGCCGTTATTATCATCATCATTCAATACAATATTGAATTGAAGCGCGCGCGTAAAGAAATTGTTGTCAAGGCCAACAAACGGTGAAGCACAACAAATCACATTAATAAAATACATAAACGTACGACTAAAATGCACATATGAACAATTCCTTTTAAAATGAAAAGAAGTTTTTTTTTTCTTTTTTTCTCAAATTCCTATTCCTATTAGGAAAATAAATGCTTCATTTCAATCATGAAATTTTCAAAAGTCTATCGCATTCCATCAATATTGCAAGAAAATGAGGAAAACTTTACCCAAACTTGGAGGACGAACTTGGACGTGTGTATGTGTTGTTTTCTGTTTTTATAATAAGAGGGGGTGGGGGGCAAGCAGTAGATCAGTATTAGACTTTCACCCCCTGCACATCTAACGGAAATCAACGTACGTATCTGTACATATACGCACTGGGTCCAAAAAGTTTTTCATCTTTTCAATCTTCTCCGGCCTGCTTTTTGCGAATAACTTCACACAAATAAGGCAAGACACTTAAATAATTTTCCTTCTAACGTGTATGCGTGCGTGTGTGTGTGTGCGCGTTTGTTTGTACGCAGACAGATAATTATATGTAAGTGTCTATATCTACTTTATATGATCGTCGTTTTTCAAAATGTATCCATCTCCCGCACGTGAGAGCGTACTACGTTGTCGAAAAAGTAAGGCCATCTCAAAGTAATACTCAAACTTGCTTGTGAACAGTTTAAGCAGGCAGAAGAAATTCATTGTGCGCAACACTATGATAAAGACTTTGGAGTCGCAGTTCTTTCACTCTTAGCTCGCCTTTTACCCGATGTTCCACTGATTGATCAGTTGTTGACGGGTCGTATGCTTGTCATTTGCAGTAATAAACCGTTTCATAATGCATTGATAGTCAGAAATCATCTCTTTACACATATTGTAAAAATCGGAAAAAATACTTTTTATATCGTACAAAACGAAGCGCAGCTGAAATACTAATTAACGCGTGTGACGTGAAATTTGACGCTAATGTCTGTTACAATGCTATCAATTTCAACACAAAATATTTCTAATATTCGATATTCGGTTTTACTTTTTGGGCATAGTATTAGTATGTTTCTGTGTGTGCGTGTGGGTGTATGCGCACTTACCTCTTGATACCTCGAATTGACGAGAATACTTGTTTTGCTTAAATCTCCTTTAAAAGCTGAACGGCAAAGGTCTCAAGGCTACCAGGTTACTTAAATTCTAGTCCAATGTCAGTTGGCGTTGGTTTTCCAGCTAAGCCTTGCTTGCAGGTGGATCAAGTTCATTTAAAAGATCTATCTCTGAAATGGACTAAGAAATCTGCTAAATTCTAAGCCAAAACGATTGGAAAAAAACTGATAGGGAGAGGGTAACGAGTATAAATTTCTAAAACGATAGAGAGATTACATCAATCGAGAACATACACAGCCGTGGACACATGAATACGTAGTGCACTCAACAATAAGTATATTTTTATTATTATTCAAGTTTCTATCATCTATGTGTCTATGATTGTGTACGCACACACTGTAGATACTATGTTGATAAGTACTTTTTTGTAAGTATTTTAGGAATTACAAGCGAGAGGTGAGAAAGGTGATTGATCGTTGAATGCGAAACTTTGCTACACTATTGATAGTAGACTTATTCGCCTACACAGACTAAAGTAGAAGCTTTCAGATGTGAGTGTAGGACGTAACTCAAGTAAATAAAATAGAAAATGTTCAACAAAAAGCAGAAGCACTTTAAGTTTCATCTGAGTATGAGAAAACATAGAATTTGGCAACATAAGTTAAAAGAAGTATATACATAATATACGAAAGTTATATAACGGGTAACCCGACTCTTTTGTAAGCTTGTTAATATTTCTAAGAGTAGTTTAGTTAAGCCCTTTAAGATCATCAAAGAATTCTTTCTATACTGGCCTAGTCGGTTGCTATCAGTAGTTTTCCCTAATGGCTTTACAAGGTATTCGAAGCAAATTTAGCTTTTCGTAGCTTCTTCTCTCTCTCGCTCTCTCTCTCCGTGATTTAAAGTCAATATGTAGACATTGTTTGAAACTGGTTCCCTATATTTAACAGTTCTTAACAATAAACAAAAGTATAGATCTTTTTACTGTTGTAATTGCCATCAAATGGAATCACTTATGTCATATCATGTCGCCAAGTTTGTTTCGTCGACCTCTACGACGTCTTCCAAGTGTCGCTGCAATCGCTGAAAAAAAGGGAAGAACTTCAACTATAAATACCTCGTGCAATCTTGTTGAAAGTTCAGCTTTCCCGCACCTTTACCGATAGCGTAAGAGCAGTTCACAATTCGCACTTTCGATCTTATTATAAGCCTGAAAAGATATTTTATGTTATATTAGCTTTGTTTGAGTTGACCTTGATAAATAGCTCACGCAAAGTTTACTTGGCTAGAAAACCTCCCTTTCCTCGATACATTAAAACTAAGCATTTAGTATTGTACGCCAAATTTCTTACGTTGTTTTTTTTTTTTAAAAATTAATTTTAAAATTATATTAAAGTACTTTATATTTGCTCCTAAAATCAGCAAAAAGTCTGTGTGTCAATGTGTCACCGTAAATACTTTTTATTTAAATAATATTAAAATTTTTATATAAAATCATTAAATTTTTAAATACAATCTCCGTTTTAAAAAATGATTCGCCAAGCATTCAATCTAAAAAAGCTTAAGTAAACATTTCAATAAAAAATTGAAACAAAAACGTAAATCGATTTGAAAATAATTTACATTTAATTTCAAATATTTTTTTTCAATTTATCATCTCCATGCTATTACAGAGCATATAAAATTGCATTAAAAAATTTTTTCACAAAAATAAAAGAAAACAAGTAAGAAGTAGCCGGGTAACACCGATCATTACACCACTTCGCGTGGTACACCAACAAGTCCACATTATTGTCATGCAAAGCCATAATTTTCATGAAAGCCCGCATATGGGAAGGTTAGATTTTACCCTCCTTCTAAGAGTTTGCGTTTCGTGATAACGCCTATATAAGGGGGGGCCAAAAAGATAGACATTTGTGATCCAAATTCCCTAGTAATAATTTTTTTTACTGAAACACTTCTGTGAATTATTAAGGTATCATGAGATATTTTTTATGGAGCAAGGGGAGAAATAGACCCATGTGGTTCAAATTAGATACACTTCATTGCTTTATTTATTTTTTTTGACATAAAAGTTTTTACGTTTCATGAGAATCCTGATATGCGGTGGCATCCAACTTATAGACCTACTTGGTCCAAATTCCGTAAGGTATATTTCTTTGGCAATTTACTATTACGAGCCAATTTTCATCATTAAATATTGGAAATTCGACCTTTTTACCATATAAAGCTTTAGTTTCCACAGGAATGTATGTATGAGAGGAGGTGCAACAACTTGCCCTAGCCGGTCCAAAGTTTTCACACCAATTTAGAATGGCGAAGAATTTTGAAAATTGCAATTTTTTTCCACATTACGGGTTTTCAGAATAGGGCGTTAAGTGAGGAGTGGTCGAAAAAGTGGACCGATCCGAAACATTTTCAATAGCGCTACATCTTCAGTCAAGCCACATCAGTGTATCAAAATTCATCAAAATATTTCAAAAATGGCGGTTTGCAACTTAAACACAAATTTACATGGCCCGACATCAGACGGACAGACAGGCTTAGATTGATTTAGAAAGTGATTCTAAATCGATCGGTATAATAAAAGGTGGGTCCATCTAAAAACCTTTTCGATGTTACAAACGACCGAACTGACTTCATATGCTCTACACCACAAGTGATGTAGGGTGTAAATAGTATAGAATACTTTAAAATTATTCAAAAATAAAAACAAACACATTTCCCTTTGGGGTATAATTAGATAAGTCAATCATAATTTTATGCCTATCTACGGATTTATTTATTTTTGTTTCCTTTCTTTCGTATCATTCACAATCTTTTTTTCTAAAAATCTTTAATTAGTATCGACAGTTTCCGACAACAATAATAACTTCGAGTGTCAGTGACAGGGGAAAAAATTGCTTTCGCTACATTAGTTATGAAAAAGTGTACAAAACAATTCTTTCTTCTTCACTTATAAATTCTTGTAGAAAAATATCAATACAGCGTTAGCTTTAAGGAACCGAAACGCAGACCAATACCATCACACTAATGATAATGAAATACCTTACCTGACCTTACCTTACTTTGCTGCCATGGGATTCGATTAACTTGGGTGCATTAACTTTTTCAAGTATAATAGGTTTGTAGGCAGTTGTTCTCTCCTATTACGTATTATGAATAGGGCAATTCTCTTCTTCTTCTCCAAATGATAAATGGATGGTTGCAAGTGTATGTCAAGGCAATGGGCAATGCGTGCAACATCCGGAAGAACTTGAGGTGGATTCACATGTTATGTATACTATTATTATATATATCAAGATTGCGGGAATGCATGCAACACCCAGAAGAACTTTAGATATATACTTGTGATTAAACTTGTCTGTCCTTCTGTCTGGTTTTTTTTTTTTTTTTTGCTTAGTCAACGTAAATGCCTTTATTTTTGAAATATCCTAATGAAATTCGGTCGATCGACATATTTTCTTCCATTTT